GTTCAGTCTTTACTTAAATATTGCTCTGAGAAAATCTCCCCACCACTAACATGCAATCAGTTTCGCGTATAATAGGCACAGTGTGCTCGCGCAGTGGAGCGCAACTTTGTTGCGCGTGAACTTGGCGCGAGGCACTACCGTGCCTCTTGATATTGCATTTTTTTACAGTTGTTAACTTAAGATATCAATTGCAGGTGACAATTCTGATCAATTGTGTCGTTTGTGCATTGGAAGAATTCCTGGTGGCAAGTGTACGAATCAAGATCCTTATTCAGGTTATGAGGGAGCTTTCCGCTGTCTGGTTGAAGCAGGAGAGATCGCTTTTTTAGTGCACACGACTGTGCAAGAAATGACTTCAACAACATTTGATTTTAGTACGCAAAATCTACTTTAAGCAACAAGTTTTATTGCACTGAAATAAGAAAGTTGTTATTCAATTTTTGCTTCAGGTTCCGTGAAAAAAGAACAGTTTGAGTTACTTTGCAAGGACGGTACACGCAGATCTGTAGATGAGTATACTATCTGTAATTGGGGCAGCGTGCCGTCACACGCAATAGTCACGTCTTCCGCGACCAGCTTCAAGATCCGTCAAATGTATCAAAGATTCCTGGAAAAAGCGGTGCGCATACTGCACAAGAACAAGAATGATACTGCGAACTTCAATCGTTTCGGCAACGATCAGAGAGATTTTGATAATCGGCCAAGTTACAACAAATTCGACGAAGATAGGGTCAACAGAGATGAATTTAACAATCCGAACGAGTACAACACGGACGGGGATCGCAATGGATACGATCGAAGTTACGGCGTCGATGGGAAAGGACTGAATACATGGGAGAAACCGATGAACGACACATACGATTATTACAACAGAGAACACACCATCAACGAACCGACGAACATACGTCCGATAGAAGTATTCGAGCTGTTCGAATCGGCGCCCAGATACGGATTGCAGCACAATTTGATCTTCTCCGTAAGACATTGCGTTCTATTTTTTGTTTAATATTTATTTCTTTAAGTAATGCATATTTATATTTTTTTTCAGGATTACGCACGCGACTTCGTGCAAATACCTGAGAAGGATCAAACGTTCGAAGGGTACTTGAAACGATCCTTAGAACACATATTGGGTGTACATCACTGCCCTGTAAATCGGATGACGTTATGCGTCACTTCTGAACCGGAAGTAGAAAAATGCGTAAAAATGAAGGTATAACTGCGTATTGAAAAACTGTTTTATCACTTTAATGATTTTTTGAACATATTTAAGTTTAATAATTAATTTATTGCAGACTGCCTTGAAAGCCCAGCTTTTGAAACCAGACTTGTACTGTTTTAGAGGCCACAGTCATATAAATTGTATGCAAGCGATACAAAACGGGTATGCATAAAATACGTTATATTGAAGCAATATAGATGAAATAAAATTTTTATGCATTGATATCTTGCTTCATTTACTGTAGGCTTGCTGATGTGGCTGTCCTAGATGCTAGTGACGTCTACACCGCGGGATTACGTTACGACTTGATTCCGTTCATCTCCGAAGTATACAATCTCGAAACAGCAGACTATTACGTTGTCGCCGTGGCCAAAGAGGAAGACGACAATACCGATCTGACATATCTCAAGAACAAGTACACCTGTCATACCGGAATCAACATGGCCGCTGGCTGGGTTTATCCGTTGGCATATCTTATCTCAAATAAATGGATCAGAGGCTACGGTTGTGATTCTGTGCGCGCCGCTGCTGAATACTTCACTAAATCCTGCGTCCCGGGTGCACTTAGCACTGAGTACAATACAGGTAATTAAAATTCAGACGCTTACTAAAATTTATGCTCTTACTGACTAAAAAAATTTGAGTTGGAAGAAATTCTACGATTCTGTACAGAAAAAAGTAAGATTTGATATTTAATTGCAGGTGTGCCGTATGATCATATGTGCGGTTTGTGCCACGGAGGAAGCTATAGATACTGCCGACGAGACGCTTCCGAGGATTACTTCGGATACACAGGTGCCTTCCGATGTTTGGTAGAAGGGGGTGGTGATGTAGCCTTTGTGAAGCACACAACGGTCGCCGAGAACACCGACGGCAAACGAAGGGAGTTCTGGGCGCGTAACACTTTCACAAAAGACTTTCAGTTGCTTTGTCCAGACGGTACGCGTCGCTCGACCAGCGATTACGTAAACTGCAATCTAGGCAAAGTGGCCGCCAACGCCATAGTCACACGTGGTGGTTATTACGGCTACAATGAGACACAGATCAACGCATACATTAATCTGTTTATATACGCACAACAGTTCTACGGTCGAAAGGAGCAAGATGAGTTCAGCTTTAGCATGTATTACAGTATTCCGCCGTACAGCGATCTTATCTTCCAGGACGCTACTCAGCAGTTGAAAGTTATTCCACCGGAGAAACGGGAGTACAGCGTGTATCTTGGCCAGGACTTTATGAGAGCCAGAAGAATCGTGGATTGCAACGCCGGCGCGGCAGCTTTGAGCTACTCGTTATTCGCTACGATAGTCATGATAGCATTTACTTTTGTATTCGGCAGATAAACTCGTGCAATTTAACGCTCGTACGTGATGAACAAAACTAAAACAAACGATCTGTTATAGAGATTTTAATAAGACATTTGATGTGTAAACACTATAATTTTATTGCTAAGAGATAAATTTAGTGGTGATGTATCATACCGTCCATACTATATTGTACAATGTACATCTTCTAAATATTTCATATTTCAGATATTTTTTGTTAAAAAAAATTTTTATATCGACACTTTTATATCGACGTCGTGAACACTCGTGAATATTCGTGAACACTTTAGTTCATACTTTATGGAGACTAATAGCAGCTTGATACAGAGAATACAAATTATGTAAGTTGTAGAACTGCCTTTACATCCGTCCGTAATTTTAAGAATTATTATATTTAATTTGATACACATATATATATATTATTATGTAATTTGATACATGTATATATTTTATATCAATTCACTAATGTTTTTAGTAAAGAAAAAAGTAACTTTATATATACTAATAAATCTTTATATAAAATTATATCAATATGATTTTATTTTTTTGTATAATAAACTAGAAAAAGAAAAACAAAAGAAAAAGAAATGTGAGGAAATAGATATGAATACTATTTTTATTATAAAATATTGAAAATAGTAGATATATATATATATATCATACACTTACACACGTATATATTAACCCTTTCAAAAAAAGGTAAACAAAAGGCGTCAAGTACACGCACAATACGTATTGTATTTTGAAATATTAAAAATCAAAAAAAGAATTTTACTAGGTATATATTAATAGAAGTATATATTAATAGAAAAAGCATTCTCTACAAAATCTGTTTTACAAAAGAAGTGATCAAGAAGTAGCACTAAGTAAAATTTTGGACGTTTGATAGAGAGAACAATATAAAATAGAGTATAACATAATTGTGTCAATAGTATAGTATAGTATAGTATAGTATAGTATTTAATTAATACAAAAAAACTTGGCGCGGCTTCATTGAAAACAGACAGACGTTTTATTCTATGCGCACGAGCGAGCTACTTACACTTTATTTCATAAATCTCACTTTATAACTTTGACATACTAAGTATAATCATTCATTTTTCAAATTGACAAAAGATTCTACACATAAGTAAAATAAGAAAAGCGGCCAAAGTAGGAATAGCGTTGCGTGCGAGATTGGCGGGACATCCGCTGAGAGCCAATAGCTGAAGAGTGGAGGTGGAGGTTGTTTCTGATTCTGATTTGCTTTTGTTTCTCTCTTTTTCTAGATGATGGAGAAATATAAAGATTGAGAGAGAAAAAGATTGAAAGAGAGAAACTGAGAAAAAAAGATTAAGAGAGAAAGTAAAAGAAAAATTGTGTGTGTGTGTGTGTGTGTGTGTGTGTGTGTGTGTGAGAGAGAGAGAGAGAGAGAAGAGAGTAAGAGTTGGTTTATAATAGCCGTAACCGTTAACTTACGCCGGTGCCGTAAAAGTTTGGAAAATAGAAAACTCGTACTCTTGTTCGTAATTCAATTATGAACAGAAGTACGTACTTCCTATCTTCCAACTTTTACAGCAATGGTTTAAGTTAACGGTTACGGCTATTATAAACCAACCCTAAGAGAAAAAGCAAGAAAGAGGCAGAGAGGAAAAGAAAGAAAAGTTTGAGAAAGAGAAAGGCAGAGTCTGGGAGAGAGAAAGATTGAGCAAACGAGAAAGAGAGAGAGATTGATTGATTGAGGCTTTATTTTATACATATAGCGCTCTGGGAAACTTCTCCTCAAGCGCAGAGAGAGAGAGAGAGAAAGAGAGAGAGAGAGAGAGACGTATATATGAGAGAGATATATAATGATAATACATTCAAACATATATTTATTGTTTTGGTTAAATAAATAATGTGTAATAAATGTGAAATAAAAAAACAATTGTATTAAAACATCAAGATATACTTTTTGTATTTTATCGTTGCACGTGATATTTTTATGTCTCTTGATTTTCTCTTCCTTTCTCTAACTCACAGTTCTTGTTTTTCTTCCTCTTTTCTTACAGCCACTGAGCTCGTATCGCCATCTAATGTCGGGAAGTATGACGTTGCACGAATGTGATATATATATATATATATATAATATGTACATTTATTATGAATGAATCTCAACAAATTCAAATTTTATCTTCAAGTATCTTTAAATAGAAGACACCAAAAAGAAAACCACATACGTACTTTTTTCTCTATTTTTTCAACCTGAATCGATTGAGACTAAGAAGAAGTCAATCGGTTCAGTTATTACTGAAATATGAATATTTTATTTTTTTCAAATGTCAAAATTACTCATTTTCGCGTAATAGAGGCACGGAGTGTTTGCTTCGTTTGCGCGCGACTTCATTGCGCGTGAACTTAGCACTACGTGACTTTTAAAAAAACAAAGTCTCAATTTTTAAGCTCGTATCATTTTCCCTGCAAAAATATGCAATAAAAGAAGTGAAACACGCCTCTTTCTAGTAATATCAAAATTAATTGAATAACGAAACGAGAAAAAAAGAATCATTGTTTTTGGCTGTCAAAATCTCATCTAAATCTTAATTTCGAATCAAAATTTTTCAAGTTTATAATTATCTATATTTTTATTAATATTTCGAATAATATAATTCCAGACAGAGAACAATTTGAGCATTAAAATAATTTTATTAATCAGAAATATTTTATATTAATTAAAGAAAAACATAGGTCTTGCAATTAGAAAACGATATGAGTAGTGATATTTCACCATTGAATACGTCTAAGTATGAAAAAGTGAGGAAAGATTCCAGCGCGCAACAGAAAAATAATATCAGCAGTGGTAAGGTAAGATATTAATAGGCCTGTTAAAATCTATATTTATATAAGAAGTATAAATTGTAAAAAAATATATAAAGTTACATGACATTTCAGGTGACTCACAAAATATCCAATGCATCGATCCAAGCATTCGATAATTTAAATCAATTTGCTGAACAAAAGCGGAATTTCAACTCGGCGCAAGCGTCTTCTCCTATACCCACAAAAAATACAAATTTGCTAACAAGTAGGATCCTCCATTTTAACTTATATATTATCGATTTATTAGTCAATTATTTATTACATTGAGCCTCTTGCTATGGCGAAGCTGCTATTATGCCTTTAAGATATGCATCATTCGATCTGGGATGTTTTTTTTTTTTTATCATCACACGGCTGTGTAAATCATCTTTAGGTAAACACAACACTTACAAATTAGTGGATAGCAAACAAGCGTCGAATTCACTTTATCAATCTGATAAGAAGCTTCTTGATACTTATGCTCGTATTGCCGCGAGTTACAACAGACGTTGTCCTAAACGATTGCGCGAGCTCGCCAAACCGAAGAAACCAGGTTCCAGCGATCAGAGTAATAGCTCTGCCAATTTTGATCTGAACTACCGCGTATCTAAACCATATGGAACCAAAACCAAACACACTTCAAAAGAATTGCAAAAGAAATAGTTTGACTACTGTTAATTAAAAAATTATTATTGTGAACAGTTCATTTATCAAGATGATTAGTACGCTTTCAAATGATACAAAAATATGTAAAAAAATACTCGCAAAAATATCTAAAAACAGGTATCTAAAAAAATATTGTCTCGTTTTACATTCTGTAATAAGAAATAAAACTCTTTAACCTTTAGAAAGTTCGCATTTTTTCTTATATACTTGATATCCAAAGTTTGTATACATAACATGCGTTTTATATAAAATTATTATGCAGATTTAGAGCATATACATATAGGCTACTCTTCTAAAGGTTAAAAGGTGAAAAGATTATTATGAAGCGATATCTCTGAATAGCTTCTTCATCATTTCTTCGAATACATATCATATCACAATACAGTCATATGTTTCATTTAATTAAAAAATTTTTCCGCAAATAGAAAAATATGATATTTAATATGTACATATGTGTAATAAAGTAACTAAAGTTTGTCTGTGTGTAAAGTTTTTCTGTAATTTGCTAAACTTTTTTATTACTTCTTTTTCTTGTTACAAAAAATAGCGAAACTTGTTTTCAAGGACAACCGGCTCAGGTGTTCAGCTTGTTGTGATAAGATGATCGCGAAATACGAACTTGTTTACCTTCCAAAATTCATTTTCTTCAGTTGCAGATAACCGAAAGCAAGAAATATATATATGTATCTCTATACATACATACATACATATATATATATATATATATGTGTGTGTGTGTGTGTGTGTGTGTGTGTTTCTTTTTGTCAGATGCATACGACAGTACTTAGAGATTTACCTCATTTCAGTTCCCGTGCGAATCTAAATTACAAATTTACGTATACGCGATCTCACGTACGTCCATTGTAAAAAAAACAAACCTCTTGTATGACACATTCAAGTTTCCAAGAAAGGAAATAGATGATTCTTCCTCCTCGCGGTCGAGTGACCGAGTATAAAAGGCCTCATACTGCCCTTGAAGTTTGTAGTGTTCACCAGTGCCACGCACAGTACGTGCGTGTAACTGATCGTTCAGTCGTTGATACATGACTTCTTTTTTGCTTGTCTCTCTCTCTCTCTCCTAAGATAGATTGCAGTATAAAACAGCCAGTTCAATCTATATAGTTACTATGATAACAAAGTTTATTTTTTTATTGTGGATCGTCACCGTACTCGGTGACGAAGAACACGAGATAACCGCGCCGATCGGGAAAATACGTGGTTCTACCTTGACCTCGAAACTTGGCAAGAAGATCTATTCTTTTCGAGGTGTGAGATATGCAGAACCGCCAACTGGACAACAACGGTTTCAAGTAAAATAATAAAAATAATATAATATAAAATAATATATATAATATAATATAATATAATATAATATAATATAATATATATATATATATAAATAATTTAATTATGACTCTCAGAGAATATAAATCAACGTTATAAAAATAAAATAATAAAAAAATAATAAAATTAATATAAAAGTATAAGAGACCATAATTGCAAGAGCCGACATTACTGATAATACGTGTAACAAAACAAAACAATTTTAATTCATCAAATATTCAGTAAGTCTCTGAAAAATGCTCAATGCGTATCATTTTAATTATTTCTGTTAGGTTGCAGTTCCAGCGGTAGATTGGAACGATGTTTTCGATGCGACCAAAGAAGGACCTTCTTGTCCAGGAATACGTGCGGAGAATATTTTGGAAGATTGTCTCCGTCTAAACGTCTACACGACAAAAGTATTAGATTTCTCACAATGTATGTTCTCGTTGAGAAGAGCATAGCGTTACTAATTGAACAATTACCTTGGTTGTAGTTACCATCAGCGAGCGATTCCGTGAGAAGACCCGTGTTAGTATTTTTCCATCCTGGCGGGTTTTATTTGTTCTCGGCTCAGAGCTTTATTTTCGGACCCGAATATCTTCTGGATAAAGATATCGTTCTCGTGACCGTAAATTATCGTCTCGCATCACTAGGTAAAGCTTTGCATTTTTTAATTGTTGTTTTGGTAATTTGAAGCGTAATCGATAAAATGTTATCTAAAAAGAACAAACGTGAACTAAATAATAAGGTAATATCTACAACCCCTTCCCGGGAAAAAATGGATTAGATCTAACTTAAATTTAACGAGATACAAAAAATGAAAAAATAGATCTAATTAGATTCAAAGTAAATCTAAGTAGATCTATGTAAATTTACACTTTTATATATCAGTAAATCTACTTTAGATCTACTCAGATTTACTATATTAAAACTAGTCAGATTTACTTAGATTTAAGCAAATCTGAACAGATCTAAGGTGATCTAATATTATAGACCTGAAAAGATCAAAAGCAGATCTAATAATAAATAAAAGTGTGAATTTACATAGATTTACTTATATCTATTTATAGATGTACTTTATATTTATTTAGATCTTTATATCTATTCCCTGATAGGAAAACATTTACAAAATTATGTGACAAAATCTTGCACTAAAATTGTAATTTGCAATTATACAGATATATTTTAAGAAATAGATGTAAAACCATTGATCGTTTATCACATATTTGTCACTGTTTGCAACATTACTTTCCAAATACTATTTCGGCAAAAGAATAACGATATGGCGAATCATCTTAGCAGTATATTTGCAAAATTAATTCCACAAAAAAATTGTCCAATAATTGAGAACATAAATTCAGCTCTGTGATGTTTAAAATATGTAGAAATATAATTGCATATAAAGAAATGCAAGAAATCGTTGTCACTCATGATGTCATATTTGTGCAATATTTTCACAATTTGCCTACTGGAGGTATATACTGTGAAAATACATAACGATTCTTTTCCAATTTTTGACAAATATTATTTACAAAATTTTATTGTAACAAAACTGTTGCGTTGACGAATCATCTTAGTGCAATCATTGCAAAATAGTCGCCATTCATGATACCATTTTTGTGCAATATTTTCACAAATGTGCCTATTAGGATTTAGATTTAATTTAGATCTAATTAGATCTATTTTTCCATTTTTTTTATCTCGTTAGATTTAAATTAGATCTAATCCATTTTTTCTCTGGAAGTAAAGTAATATCTACAATTAAGATAATATCTACAAGATAATATCTACAATTTTATCTCAAAGATATATATAAAAAAATACGTTTCTCCGTCAAAAAACATTTTTTATATATTAGGTTTTTTGAGCACTGGTGATTCAAAAGCACCGGGTAATCTGGGTCTAAAGGATCAAGTGGAAGCTCTTAAATGGATCAAGAGAAACATAGGTGCTTTTGGTGGCAATCCCGATAGCGTTACGATATCCGGTTATAGCGCTGGTGGTGTGAGTGTATTTATGCACATGGTTTCTCCAATGTCTAAGGGATTATTTCATCGAGCAATTATGATGAGCGGCTCAACAACACCAGATCCCTTGCCGACTCACCAACTACATTTGGCAAAGAAGCAAGCGCAATTGTTGGACTGTCCCACTGATACGACAGGCGCTATGATGATCTGTTTAAATTCCAAACCAGTGGAGAACTTCACGAACACCATACCAAATTTCTTTGTAAGTATAATGAACATGTGCAACACAACAATCTTAATAAATAAGGAACGGCGAGTGATATTGTAGAAAAAGAATTTAAAAAAATATTTGAATAGTATAAACTTAGTTAAAAAATATAATTAAAGATAATAAAAAAAATATTAAAGTCAAACTTTGAACATACTGCGACATTCCTCAGGAATGGCATGGTAATCCTATCTTAGTGTGGTCACCGGTAGTGGAGCCTGAGGTTCGCGGTGTTGAGAGATTTTTACCAGAGCAGCCGTATGATCTTATCAGAAAAGGACAATTTCACAAAGTTCCGTTAATCGCAGGAGTTACAAAAGACGAATTCGGTGGTGTAGTTGCCGGTTAGCGTTAATAAGTGCTAAAATAATATCATGGGAATCAGATAAAGATAATTGCTATTGCATTTTCATGATTCTAGCTGTCGAAAAGCAACGTCAAGAAGGAAACATGTCGACATTGAACGACTTGAACAACAATTGGTACGAACTCGCGCCGATAGTTTACTTATATGAGCGCGATACACCGCGTTCCCGAAACATAAGCATCAATCTGAAGCTGTTTTATTTCGGTAACCAGGAGATCGGTCCAAACACATACGACGGTCTCGCTCATGTTCGTAAATTGTCGAATAAAAATTGTCATAGTGCGTTTATTTATTAAATGATTCATATAATTGAACGTTTTGTATTCCAGATCATAGCTGACAGTGTAATTATATTTCCTCTGTATCGGAGTATGAAGTTACTTGCGGAGTACAATGATCATCCAGTCTACTTCTATATGTTCAGTTATCAAGGAAGATACAGTTTTGCCATGTGGAATGAGACCACGCCATATGGTATTTTTTACGTTTACACATTTTTTCTATTCAAATCATCTATAGTTAAAAATGATATATGTAACGATCTCTTTATTCACTTTTATAAATATTATAATTTATAATTAATATTTATTTTATTGTTCCAGGAGTTACGCACCACGACGATTTGCAATATCTGTTCTTCATGAAATTCAAATTTCCATACTTCGAAAAAGATGCCCCGGAAATTCCTACAGTGGAACTGATGACAAGCATGTGGTCAAATTTTGCCCAAACCGGACAGCCGGTGCCGCCGAACTTGGCAAACAATATCACGTGGAACCCATACGACTTAGCAAAGGATGACTACTTAGATATCTCCGAGGAACCCAAGATGAAGACTGGATTTTATCCTGATAGAATGCAAGAATGGGAACGTTTGTTTCCTATACCCCCAGTAAAATAATCAAACATGTAAAATTACACACAACTGAGCTACATGTGACGACAGATCAATTTCAACGCATTTAAACATATGCAATCTATCATACTACTATACTTACATAAGAAATCTTGTTGTAAAATAAAATGTTTGTTTTTCAAGCACAACTTCTTGCAATATTTTTCAACCAAAAAACAAATTTCAAAAAATACAACTTTAATATTTTTGACAATCAAATTATATGTAATATAGATGTATATTATGATGTAATTACCCAGCAAACATTTCGGTCACAGAACCATATCCATCTGTGTCCTCAGTAGGATATGGTTTGTTAACCATGTCTGTCAACATGTGAAATGTCAAAATGCGACCAAAATGATGACAGAGTCTGCCACAAGCAAAGCGAGGCCAAATTAT